ATAATGTGGGTGTATTCTAAGCCCATGAGAGAAAAAATGTTTGACCCCCATCAACAATGCTTACTGCGCAGAGTCCAGTGACCTCTTGTCGGTAAGTGGCAATTCGCACCGTAATATTGTCCCTTATTAGCCATTGTTTAAAACAAGACGGGGTATTGTCGTGTCCTTCATAATGTCCTTTGCGCTGGCGGTCAATAAATCCCCCGCGGTTTATTTTTTATCCCGCGCGCTCGACGTACTTTGAAAGGAAAATAGAGGGTGTGTGAACAGGCTACGCATTCTACGTAGAGCCGGCGTTGATTAAGGAAGCATGTTAAAAGTCTTATAAGCTCTTTTAGATCGGTTCGATTCTAGAGTACGCCGTGCTTGTGTGGCAACCTATTCCAGGTTATCTGTCTGACAAAATTGAACCCATACAGAAAAAGGTTTACCTCCAGGTTTTGAAGTAGAAAGCATCGAGGATAAAACTTCTACTTACGTTGGACCCAAGAGGTTTCAAGTCAAGTTCTGTACTACCTCGAAGATAATCCTACTGCTGAAGCTGTAACAGATCCTGATCCAGGTCCAGCCAGAGAGCTCTTCGAGGTTCAACAAAAAATACTTCGCTGCGCGTCGAAACTAATGTTTATAAATTTTTAACGGCTGCTTGACTGAAGGGTGGCCAAACCAAAAATGGATGCTGATATTAGACTCAGCTACAAGTCGACCTCACGAGTTTTTTAGCGAGCGGATCGGGCGAGCTTTTTAGGCCGCGATGCACTGTAAAACTTTCTAAACCTTCCTTCGTGCGCCATATTAAATCAGACGAAACGTGGCTTAAATCAGTGAAAATTTTAAAACCGGAAGTCAAATTGTAACTTCTTCTGGTTCACATATTACGTTTTTTTTCTAACCCTAAATGATAATTGTTTTGACGTTTTGAGGTTTTTATCTTATCAGATGCATAGAAAGAGGTATGAATTTTTGAATAGGTAAAGACTGTAAGAAACGGAAACTCGCTTGTTGTAATTTCAACGCTTTAATCCTCGAGACCGGTACAAATCGTCATAATCTAACTCTCGAATTCTGTTTTATTCTTGAATCTGCTGTGGTGCGAAGTGAAATGGAAGTTGTGTTACGGTGCGAAAACTATCTTCAAGTCGACGTTCGCTTTAACCGTTGTCGATTTCACAATGCTTTATGTGGTTTGGCTCTCATTTCACTGTTGGTGTCACGCGCCTGTTGTTATTATCGTCTCGCGTTTCATTGTTGGTTATTAATTTAATAATTAATTCATAATAATTTATTAATTCAATTCGAGAGAGAGTTAATTTTAGGGACGGACCATTAGAAAACTTATGGGGAGGAGGGGGGGGGGGCGAAGTACAAAAAAAATATTCACGCAAGGGAAAATTAAATAAAAAACATTATTACTGTTAATTCAAATTGTTAATTAATTAATAACCAACGATGAAACGCAAGACAATAATAACAACCTGCGCGTGACCACATAAAGCATTGTGCAATCAACAACGTTTAAATTTAAAGCGTCGACTTGAACGTAGTTTCGCATCGTAAAACAACTTCCATTTCACTTCGCACAACAGCAGATTCAAGAATAAAACAAAACAGGTAAGATTTTATTTCCTATTTAATTTCCATTTGCAGTTTACAAATAAGAGCTTGGGTTCCCTTAGCCTCCCACGCAGGTGTTTTTAGGGGAGCTCGTTTTTCATCCCTCCCAACAAACGCCGTTTGTGGGGAGGGATGAAAAACGAGCTCCCCTAAAAACGCCTGCGTGTGAGGCTATGGTTCCTTATGCCAACGCGAAGACATGCCGAACAAGCACGCGTACGTAAAACTAGTCATGTGATACCGTAAAATTCCGAAAATAAGCCCCGGGGCTTATATTTTTCAAAGGCCCTTTTTGAGGGGCGTATTTTTGGAGGGGCGTATATTCGGAGGGGATTATCTAAGGAGGGAAATTTGCGTTTCAAAATCGATTGGGCTAGCCTTATTTTTACATTTTCTGCTTTGTTTTACTTTGTATTTGAGGGCAATTGCCAAGTAAAAGCCACCGGGCGGCTTATATTTGGAGGGGCGATTTAACGGAGGGTTTTTTGCGTTACGAGTTTGGGGGGCTTATATTTGGAGGGGCTTATACACGGAGGCGCTTATTTTCGGAATTTTACGGTATGTATTTATCGCGCCATAAAACTTCTCACAAAGACAAAGACACCATGGGGTTTTTGAGACCTGTTTTAAGATTTGTAAGTTTGGCTGTCAAGATTAACAATTAGCATAAAATGATTTTTAAAAAATATATCATTTTGGAAATTTATCTGTGGTTTAGACATAAAAATAGTAAGGAAAAACTTACTTATTGGACACATTACAAAAATATTTTTATTTTTTGCACTCACCTTGACAAAAATGCTTATCGTGTGGTAAGGGGGGAGGGGGGGGGGGGTTGGGGGTGCATTCAACTCTTAAAATAAGGCCCATTTTAAGACTATATTATAGGTTTCAGGATTTCGAAGGTTTCTTCATTGCATTCCCAAGCAAATAATGTCGACTTTACCAAGTGCACATTCACGCAAGCTGAGTAACCTCAATTTTTTTTTGCCGTTTTTCTTGTTTAAGTCAGGACGACTTAAACATAATTAATATTACAATAGAAAGTCAAAATATCTAGACCTTCCACTTTCTGTTGATCCATTGGGTGGGCAAGCTTAAATCTTTGCCCAACAGGATAATCTTTAGAACTATTCTGCATCACTACATTTAACGGCTTGTATGGTCAGACATACATGTGCACTGACGTTTCGACGAAAGTTCACGATGTTCCAGCATTTATACTGTTACGGATCTAAACCGTATGCCTAAAAGCAAAATTAATCAATCAACCTCGGAACTGTTGTTCATTATAGCATAAGTTTAGTACGGTCTAGCACGTGACCTTTATAGAGATCTTCTTTTTAACTGCATCATGGCACAAGTTAAGTGTGGTCTGGTATAGAAGATCTGTTTTAGATCAACCATAAGTTATGGGCGTTTTTTCGCGATATTCTTGCTAATTGGATTCTAGAGTCCACGTCATGGATTCCGGAGAATCCCGAAAAAGTCGCTAAAAAAGAGGCTGTATGCAGCCACCCCCTCCCCTCATAAAAAATCGGAGAGGGGCCCCTTCTCAGATAGAAAAAGAAGTACGTTTTCCACTTGGCACTCGTGAGCCACCGTTATGATACTCAGGCTGACTATGGTGCTACGACAGTAATTAAGTTGTAAATTTACGTTTACATTAAAATAACAGCATATGGAAATTAAACCTTCCAGTGTCTTCAATTTCTCGGCTAAGGTTCAGTTAGGAGGAAACGATTTTCCCAAAGCACACAGCTCAGCCGAAAAACCAACAAAAAACAACAACGACAACAAAGAACAAAGTAGCCGAGGCTAAAAGCGAAGCCGCGATCTAATAAGAGTCGAGCCTGCGATCAGCTGAAAACTAGAAACCTATCAGCGAAAAATCGGAGAAGGGGCCCTTCTCCGACTTTTTTTTCACGAGGTTCCGGGGGGGGGGGGGGGGGGGTCCGTATACAGGCTACATTTACGGTAACCAAGTTTTCTTAGCTATGGGGCCCTCGCAACCGTTTTCGCGCACGTGGAGCTCCGCTACTAATGAGGAGGGGAGACCAGCATATCAGGGGCGGATCTAGGGGGAGGGTGCAGGGGGTGCGCACCCCCCCCCCCTGAGATGACCTGCGGTTTTCTAATACAACTGGTATTCTGCAAAAAAAAAAAAACTATGTCGTTTATTGGTGTTGAAGTACAGCAAGAGACAAGTGCACCCCCTCCTGAAAAAATTCCGGGATCCGCCCCTGCATATCCCTGACTGAATCGTTTTAATTGCGGGGATACCCAAAATCACTCTGACACCGAAATAATTCTTGGTTGTCACATGACGCCACCTGATTCAAACTAAGAAACTATCGCTTCTTCTGAGTTTCTACTTTCATCTGGTATTAGGGCATCTTAAAACCTTTACACAAACAAGTTTTCAGCTCAAAATGGTTCTTCGTTTGTGCGATACAGGACGCTTGAATTTCCAGGCTTTTGCGTGACGCGGCATTTAGCTGACGGCTAGGAGTTATGTGGGTTAAAAGATTACCAGTTTGGGAGATTTTGCTATCTAAACATTCCTTGTCTCAGAATAAATATTACTTTAATCGTTATGAGTTCTTCAAGTGAAGAATTCACGCATAAGTAGGAACACTCAAAAACAGATCTTTCTTTTGGTTTCCGGCCGCCTTATTTGTGCACTNGATTCAAACTAAGAAACTATCGCTTCTTCTGAGTTTCTACTTTCATCTGGTATTAGGGCATCTTAAAACCTTTACACAAACAAGTTTTCAGCTCAAAATGGTTCTTCGTTTGTGCGATACAGGACGCTTGAATTTCCAGGCTTTTGCGTGACGCGGCATTTAGCTGACGGCTAGGAGTTATGTGGGTTAAAAGATTACCAGTTTGGGAGATTTTGCTATCTAAACATTCCTTGTCTCAGAATAAATATTACTTTAATCGTTATGAGTTCTTCAAGTGAAGAATTCACGCATAAGTAGGAACACTCAAAAACAGATCTTTCTTTTGGTTTCCGGCCGCCTTATTTGTGCACTTGAAAGACTTGAAAGGGACACAAAAACATGGCGTCTCCATACAAAGCTATATGGATTTGGGTAAAACGTTTTTCCAAGTATATGGCACAGACCTGACTCTTGGCAAGCTTTTTGTATATTCATCTTCTTTCATTTTCCAGATTCTAGACTTCCTGTATTAAAGGCTTTCCTTTATTTTTTATGGCGTGACAGTGAAAACCACCAATAAGGTAAGTGGTTTTAGTCCTCACACGCGTTACGCAGGAGGGAGGATTGCGTGACGAGCCAAAGAAAGTCTGCGTGGGAACTGCGTGGGAGATGTGTCCTGGCCTGGAGTTTGTAGCGAACGGTGTGAACTCTTCATGGTTAATTTGTAGAGTGTAGAGGTATCTTGGAAGGCTTTTGCTTCAACCTGGTCTTTTAAAGGAGCGAACAGTCCACAGCCTGCATTTAACACTGACCGCTACGGGTTTTGCGGTAAGTAACTTAAGCTTTATACTAAGAAGTCATGTTTCACATGATTTTGCAATGATGGAGAAATGGTATGCGGCAAGGCGAAATTCTCCCCTCCCTCTATTTACTTGTCAAATGTCTATCTATATACTTAAAAATAGTAAGTGAAAGTTTTGCCATTTATACTGAACGCGAAGTTTGTTTTTTTCGTAAGCTGCTACCGGCCGTGTGATGGCATTGACATAATCACGAATAAGAACAAAACTCGGAGCCCAAATCCTTGGAGAAAAGATCATTTAGGAGCCAAGTAAAATACGTAATCAGCGCGTTCAAAGACTTAGGTATGCATGCTTTTACTTATTTCGAGTTTTCCAGCTCACCGATTGTTTATTTCAAATGACTGGCAGTCGGCCGCCATCTTGAAATGGGCGTTTTGCAAGGTAAACACTTGTTTCCATATCTCAAACTGCCCTTGGATACGTTGTGATACCTACACAAAGTAATTTCATATATATGAGTGAGCCTTGACAATAGTGATTAGGGGTAAGCACTAACGATACTTATTAGGGTTAAGCACTGACCATACTGAGTAGGGTTAAGCACTGAAAATACTGATTATTGTTAATGGTTAGCCTCTATTTAGGGTTAGGGTTTTCGCTATCACTTAAATCAAACTGGTCTCCTGCAGGGAATCTGCGGTGGTCCAGTGGTTAGGACAGGAGACTGCGAACCTGGCACTCCGGGATCGAATCCTGGTTGTATTTATGAAATTTCTTTTTCCTTCAAAATTGAAGAGACTTGCACTTTGACAACATTTGTTGAGCAGAAACTATGCCTCAGAGTCAAGAAACTCAGAAATTTCATGTAAGTGTAAGTGGAAAGGGACAGGGCGGTCTGAGATAATTATGGAAACAAGCGCTTACCATTTTGCAATAGGTTGGTCACGTGTTCAGCATTCTGTAAATACGAAAAGTGGGGTCATTAGGGAATTGTCAACACCACATCACCGCCAAAAACCTTAAGGAAACACTGACATCACAATTTAATTTTTGTTTTATGATTAATCTAATCCATTAATCTCCATATAATTGGGGAAGGAGGATCTTGGAGCTGGTTTTGATTTTGTAGAGACTCATAGAGCTGAGACTGACCCCAAGATTCTAAGAACTATATTTCAGTCATGCAGATGTAAAGAATGCATGGTGGCATGTTACAAACTTACCAACTAGAATTTGTTTTTCTGACGGTAGTTCTGGATTACCACCCTGTTCCCCTCTTTATAAAAAAAGGGGACACAGCCAGTTATGCACACCATTGACAATGCATTTACAGGATGAACTAAGCAATGAAAACAATAATGTGTAAAGGAATTTTTCAATTCAAGTCTCGATGTTCGTAATGTTCCTCGTCTTTATAACCTTGTCTCCTTGTCTAAATTTAAAGTGTTTTCTTTCTGGCATTTTTGGGCGAACAACAGCACAACTATAACTCACTGGAATAGCCCTTAAATGGCCAAAAATGCTAAGAAAACACCATAAATTTAGATGAGGGCACAAGGTAAGAAATTCTGATGTATCTTTATTACTATTTGAACCAAATAATGATAGCTTAAATCTCCATACAAACCCTTATAATATTTCTGTTATGCAACAACGATTCTCACTCATGAGCTTGGGGTACCTGTGGGCATACCGGTATGTATTAAAATTAGGTAACCTGCAAATTTTCAGACTTATATCTCAAAAGTGATGATACTTGCAATGGCCACCAACAATTGTAAGGATTTATATGGGAAAACAATTCATGCCACCCAGCCGTGGTTGAGTGAATTTCCATTCAAATCCTTGTAAATTTTGAAATGTTCAAACTGTCATAATTTTTTTCCCTTTTAAAATGGATTAAAGGTGTTAAATTGTCTGTTGTAAACAAAAGAAAGTTTGGGCCCTCTTTTAGAACAACAAAAATGAATAAAGAAAAATTTTTTATTAACCTTAGTTATTTAATTAGAGGTAGTATTTACACACAATTTATTAAAGACATCTCTCACTAATTGAATGTCTAATAATACCTTAATTTCAAATCTCAGTTGAACCGTGTTCCTAATTTGAAGATATGGAGTTCAATGTCCGTCTGGCTGGAAATGAAGATTACCAAGCAGTGCTGGAAATGTCCAAGGGACATTATGGAGGACATGACAATGCCCCATCTTGTTTTAAACAATGGCTACTAAGGGACAATATTACGGTGCTAATTGCCACTTACCAACAAAAGGCCATTGGACTCTGTGCAGTAAGCATTATTGATGATGGTCAAACATTTTTCTCTCATGGGCTTAGAATACACCCGCATTATAGAGGAAAGGGGTTTGGAACTCAATTAATCTTGGCTGTACGTGAGTTTGTACGACAAAATTATCCAAATGTTCTACGTGAGAGATACACAACAGCAAACACCCATCATGCTAGGCTAGCAATTGCTTCCAAGACTCAAGATAAGCTGCTGTTTCAGCAAGATTCCTATGCATTTGTGGTAAAGAAGGATAGAATTCAGCTTTCTAAACTTAACGGCCTAAATTCGTCTTGTCTTTCCCGGGTATACAAGTATGATGTGGAGAAATTCAAGAAAGATTTAGAAAAGAGCCAGGATTTATTCAAACGAGGAATCATGGTGATTAACTACGAACCGTATAAAGCAGTACCATCAAATGTTGACCTGTGCATAGAAGAGGGTGACTGTTTATTTACTGACAGAACACAAGGACTCTATTTGCAACAGTCCAACCAACTCCGTTCCTTCAGTCATGGATGTATTGTCCATGCAGCTAAATTTACACAGTGGGCTGTGACAGTCTTCACAAATGACTTGGTACTTTTTCAAGGCCATCTTTTGTTAAACCTCCAAGTTGCCTGTCAGAATATTCAGGGAGACATCATATTTCGCATCAACCATGATCAGGACAAGTTCTTAAAAGAAACAGCTGTGAAGTTATTGCAGGGAACTCTTGGGCTAGAACCCGAGACAACAAGATTTGAAGACTTTCGTGCTCTTCTATTTGAAAAGGAACTTTATTGACTAGACCTTTGCCCTGCCTGTCAGTAAGTAACACCTTACTCTTGCTAGTTTGTACTTCATACAGTCAAACCTCGTTAATATGGACACTGAAGGGAACATAGAGAGACAGTCAGTGTCCATAATTAATGCATGTTGTGCATATTAAGAAGGTCATGTTATTGGTAATATTAAAGTCAAAAAACACCTTACTACGAAGAAATGAAAAAAAGACCTGAACATCATAAATTTTAAAAAAATATTCCAAACTTTCACAAAACCATCATTGCACAGACTATAAATCCACGGAAACACTCAAAAATTACTATCTATAAATTACTTAATCAAAACCTGCATAACTTTCTGCATAGCTTTCGGCATAACTTGTAGTGCATAGAACATCAACTTGCTGTCAACTGAAGGGTTTTTTTTTTACCTTCAAAAAGGAAACAGGCCTATTACAGAACACAGTTGATAATGAAGTGTTCACATTAGTGAGGTTGTTTTTCTAATATGTGAATCTGTTGATTCACATAGGAAGTGTCCATTGTCTAGCCTTGGCCAAAAGCTGCTCAGTAACTTTTTGGCAACTTTAATTTTGACATATATAATTTGGAACAACTTTCTGGCAACTTATGCCATTTGGACCAACTTTCATCAATTTTGGGGCAACTTGATGGAATTTTAAGTAATGTATAGGAAATATAAAGTCCTATAATACTGATTAACAAGAAAGAAGTGTCAATTGTTCGCTGTAACTGGTGTCCATATTAAGTGGGTTAACTTTAGAGATTATGTGAGGGCTTTCCCCAGGGACAAAGGAAACTGTCCATGATAGCAATGTGTCCTTATTAAGCGGATGTCTGTGTGGCAGGGTTTGACTGTATTTTGGTAAAGTGATTTAATGAAAGTTTGTGTGTTGCCATTAATGTCCTACTTTTTGAATTTCCCTTAAATAGGGATCAGTCTTTTTGGGCTTGGGCTTTTTTAAAGTAGGGTGTCATTTTTCACTGGTAGTACCACTCGGGATCTGTATTAAGTAGAGAAGGGGCAAAGAAAACTGTCCATAAACATGAGGTGTCTATATTGAGTGGGTGTAGGTAAAGCAGGGGTCAACCGTATATATATGCATCTCACGTAAACACCCCCATACAGATGGAAAAGTGGGAACCCTGAAGATCTCAAAGACCAATCATTACCCTCTCTTCCTGCGGGTCACATAGGCAATGTCATGTGTCCCTCACAGGTAGTGGAACTGGATAAAACTAAACCAAGAGATGGTTGGCTGGTAGTGTGCCTGGCAGGTGTTGATGGGGTTAGGGGTTGGAGGGGAAAAACTTGGAGGAGTGTTATTGGAAAGAGAGGAAAAGGCTCCCTTTCTCCTCTCCCTTTTGCTATTTTTCTCCTCCTCCCCTCCCCTTTTTCTGCCTGCCCCACAGGCTAGCCATTTTGTGGGTGAGCACAAGACTGCCGGGTCGGTGTCATGTGGAATTTTACCATGGGCCTGTTTTGGAGATGCAATCACTTCTTTTATTGACTATTACTCAGTTGCGTAGGAAGCTGGGTTCAAATTCGTCCCCCAAAACACTCCCATTGCGCAATAAGACACAGCATCAACTCCTTGGTAATCTCGCTGATAGGTTCTTTCTAGATGTACCGAGGCACAGAACATCTGCAACAAAAGAAACAATACAACCAAATAATAAACTCCCGAGAACTCTATTGTTTGATTACTTTGTTTCTTTTGGATGACGGTACCTGCAGAAAGACCCCGTTGATATCCCGTCTCTTGACCGAACTAGAAAAGTTTCAGCTAAGAGGCAATTCATTTCTCAACGGGTTCCTCCTGATCATGTAGTCGAATAAAGCTGGGTATGATGTGGATAATTATCCAGATCAAGGAGGATAATCATCCAAGGTGGATAAGTAAAAGCCTCTGAAATCAGCATAATTCTTCGCATCATACGATAGTCGAATTCAATAATTGTTTTTCAAAATTTTTCCAAGTTCTTAACAAGCGTACTTCCTCGTGACTTTCTTCAAAACTTTGGCCTATTCCTCGGAACGGTCGACTCAGGATATAAACCTATGTTTTTTTCTCTTGCAGATACTCCTGAAAAAGTAGATAACATCCACCATGCAATATAGTTTGCATATTCTTGCATTTCTTCCTTTCTGTTTTAGTCAGAAACTCGACATAATTGTGAATGCAGTTATTAAGTTCACCATCGCCCAAGTAGCCTTCCTTTCAAGCAAATAAACCATCGATCAACCTCGTTTCTAATCAATGAAAATACCATCGAACCGATGGTATATTGATCGCGTCTTTCAAATATGCTAAGTGGCAAAAGTGGCACAGAGTAGGTTTGAGGAATTCGCCTGGAGATTGGAGCCAGTCAGAAATTAATGAATTTTGCTCTCGAACGACATGCGGCTTCAGTAGATAAAACCCTCCCAGTTAATCCACAGGGTCCAGAGGAGTTTCGTGTGAATAAATGAATCACTTATCAAGTCTCACCTTGAAAAATGTTTATACCTGTCGCTTAGCACGATTCATCTTCATTGAAAAAAATGCATATATTTGTGTTACCCGCAGTAGCGTGACGGTTTCAACGTTTTATGCAAAAACATCGAAAATGAACTGCGCGTTTACCTCTCTCGGCGCGTTGCTTTTTAATTTCCCAAGCTAGATTTTTTATATGTTGTACTACATCAGTAGGGCTTTACTAAGGTTTAATAATTCTTCTAAAATTCCATGTACCAAGCTGTGATTTCTTCCTTCAAAGTTTCGCAAAATTCATTTTTTATGAAAGTGCTGAAGATAGGAATCTTCGGGCGTTTTTTAACCGAGTAAAAAATTCATTATCTTGCAATATTTTTAGCAAATAGTATTGTAACTGGGATGCCTTACTTACCTGCCAAAGGTGAACTTGTTTCCTTGAACCGTTTTTCTTCCCGAGGGCTTTGAAAATAGATATAATTCAAAGGTTTTAGACCGGCGACTATATGGCGTAGGGCAGCATTTAACTTTTTGCCGGTTTTCTCGAAAAAGAAATTTCTTTGGAAACTTTTATTGTGAGTTTCGAAAAAGTTTCACCAAAGAGTTTTCTCTGACTGAATATGAAGGATTTCGAAATTTCCGTTTTGACGGCAAATTCTCGATATTTACAGACAGCCGCTCTTAATTTGTTGCCTCCCCAACTCTGTAAAACCCTGCAAACTGAAATGAAATTCCGTAATCGTCGTTTCTCGCCTTTCGCTTTCTTGCAGAACACTGAAGAATAGCAGTCGTCAGTTCACTTCTCAAAGTAGAACGGTATCTACTACATGAATATTACAGTCGTTTTCATTTCTTAAAATGGAACGGTATTTGTACTGTGTGCGAGTGAATATTCTATTTTTTTAAACGGCAGTTCGAACAGGCCTCTTTATGCATTCTCTTGTTACAGTCGTCCAGTAACTTCGTAAGACTGATAATCGCGAAAGCAGAGATTCTTTAATTAAAACGATCCCTACCCACCGTCCGATCCTTCTCTCTTTAATCATGATCCTTTCCACGTCATTTGACTCCACTTGCGAAGTTCTTGTTAAATTTGAATGCTTAAATGTCACTAGATAGTCAGTAAAATAGCGACCAAACAGGTTGAGCAGAGCTTGTCACACCCAATTACCATATTTAACTCATGTTATTAACTCGAAGTCGTTGATGATGATAAAGTTTTTTAATTACAATGGTCCTAATTTTCTAAAAAAAAAAAGTATGTCTAGTAGTTATTATAGTGCAAATTCCCTGTATGAAAAACCGACTTCGAGGAGTCACCTTTTACTTCACTTGGGTTTCAATGAGTGAGGGTTATTGATCAGAAGCACTTTATAACCTTTAGTTATTGATCATCGCAGCAGTAGTTCACACACCACAGCAGTCTACTTGACAACGCCTACAATAATTTGTCACATTCGTTGAAGCACTTTTCATCTTCCCCGCTCCAATGTTTATTCATGTATAACCCATTCGAAAATAAACGCGATACATGGGGGAAGAAGAGATAAAGTAACTTGACGTGGAAAAGTTAGGTAACTTGGTTGAGAAGGTGTAATATAGAAAATTTTCAGTTTCATTCCAGTGTTTTTTCTGTGTCTGGTGTCAAGGCAGTTCTTCGAGATACTGTAAATTCGAGAGCGACTATTGCCGCCTAAAAGTGTCAAGCGTAAGGTTATTTACGCGACCATAAAATATTGCCTAATAAAAAGTACAGGAAATTTCTTTTTATCGGCATGAATAATTATTGCCTCGTTATTTTGCCCTATATTTCCGAGGTCTTCTTAATTATATACATATATATATATATATATATATATTTCAGTAACCATAGTGTGCTCAACGAAACAAAGCTGGTTAGAATACAAGCCACGCATAAGGCGGCAAGTCGAAAAATTCAATAACCTCCACGCACAGTTTTATTTTCTTTTTCAAAGCGGTAGCTTACGTAAACAGGTGTCTCTTCTCGCCCCACGTCCCTAGCGGCGCAGAGCGGTAAGAGATGGTTGTCATTCGTCGGTAATTGAACTGGGAGAGTTGGTTAAGAAACGAAGTTAATTTGATATAACCGGCACTTTTATGTGATATGCACCATGGAGAAAAGAGGGTTTGGTTTCCTGTACACTGAAAAAAGTTATTGTCATGATTTTGAATGTAAATTACTGGTCGGTGTGAAAACACATATACATCTGGAGAGCAAACACAAGGTGGCATTAACGTCCTGACTGACAATAGTAGCTTAGGCTTCGCTTAAAATAATTAGCAAAGGTAAACGAAGCATCGAGAACTGTTTAAAGTGCGCAATGGCGATGACAAGCTAAACTTACCGGGGTAAAAACGCATTCAATGCATTGAGAAAATGCATTAAGCTCATTGTTATACACCGAGCGAGTGTTGCCATGAAAGTTGTATTGTGTCACCTGCCGTCCGCCTAATCAAGCATACCAGCGTGAAAGAAAGAAAAGTTTTAAGGTGAATGCATATGTTTGGTTTGAATTCTGCTGATTAGGTATTACCAACAGCTGTAAAGTAGTTAAATCATTCGATTGTGTGTTTTCAAAGCCTAGAAAAAATCAGACGAGTTCATTTGCTGGTGTATGCGATTTTCCTTAATCACACTCAGATGTTCTTCATGTATTGATACAGATTTCAGCAATTTCAAGAAAAAACATTATTTATATTTTTTTATTCATTAAGGTGGTAGAGCAGACTGACTTCTGACACATGAAAAACATATTCAGCAGTTAGGTTTCTTGTAATCTTCACAGATCAGCGAACACATGGACCCGTCATCATGACAAATGAGCTTCCTGAGAGGAGCTTAACGCTCGTCGTTCTAGAATCCACAATTTGTCTCGTACTTACCATCTGTAGTCTTGTAGGCAATATCATGCTCTGTTTGGCCGTCTATCGCAATCCAAGGCTGAGATCAACAACAAATCTCTATATCATCGCATTGTCTGTGGGCGATCTGATGTGTGCAGTGCTGGAAATGCCACTAACATTTTGGACTTTAGTCGTTGGAAAATGGGTGTTCGGCGACGGTGTATGTCAACTTCACGGTTTCGTGGACGTGTTTTCAACTTATTGCCCACCTGCCACTATGGGTCTCACAGCCTTTAACAGATACATTCGCATCGTGAAGACTAATCATTATCGACAAATATTTTCTCCTTGGCGTTCTAAGTTCTGGCTCTTTGGCGTTTGGTTCAGCCTCGCCGGATATCTTCTTATTGCGCGCGTAACAAATTGGCAAAGATACGACTTTGTTGTCGGTTTTGCCGCGTGCAGTGTTGAACATTACACAGAAAACAGGAAACTTATTCATTATTGCTTTGTGGTGTCGTTATACTTTGGCGTTTCATTTTTAGTTGCAATATTCTCTTACTACAAAGTGTTGCAGGCAATTAGGAATCACCATTTACAAGTAGCTCCCAGACTGTACAGCGCCTCATCAGCGACGACCTCCGGAACACAGACACTGAGAATTTCAATACAGGAAATTAGAATCAGCAAATCGATTGCTGTTGTAATGGCAGGCTTTACCCTTTGTTGGATACCGATGTGGGGTCTTTCTCTGACCAACAGATTCTCCTCGAGCCCTGTGCCAAGAATAATCCCATTACTCGTAACATTTTTCATCTTCTTAAGCAGCTCAATCAATCCCTTTATCTACGCTGCCACTAACAATGGATTTCGACAAGAATTTCGCAGAATGGTATTCTGTTTCAAGCGAAAAGCTAGAGTTACCACTGCGCGTATGCGCGCAGGTACGATTGTGGAAAACATCAATGTCAACCATGAAGCGGAGAATCCTGAAGTTGAAAAAAACGTCAACGTTACTTACTTAGCTATCGTGAGAGCTAGCGCATCTGCCAGCGCAACTGTTAGAAGCTCTGCGAAATACGGGCAAAAATCACTTTATGAGAATGCTGATC